GCCTCACCCCATAACCATGTCTGGAGCCAACCTCTGCCCTCCCCTTTTCTGCTGTTACCGTCAGCCACGGCCAGGAAGGGAGTGCTGGGTCCCAGGGACACCCGGCGCCGCGGGGCTCCGCTCTGTCGCTGAGGATGAGGCTACAAGCTACCCAGCTGGTGGAAGTCCCCTCTCAGTCTTTCTTACTCTACATCTAAGCCGGTTAGCTTGGCCAGTGCAGCTGCTTGAGGCAGGACCTGACGATCTGCTGGGGCTGGGGAGGGGCGGGGAGGGGGAGCAGTGCTGAACGGAAGCAGAGGCCATGTGTGTATGAGCACCACCTCTGCTCTGCTGCTTCGTAGGCACTGTCTCCTTTAACCCCATTTCACAGCTGGAGAAAGCGAGGCTCGGCGAGGCCCGAGCCAGAACCTCGCTGGGAGGCCTTGGAGCCTGGAAATGCAGACAAACCCGTTCCTGCGGCTGCAGCCCCAGCCCCAGGCAGGCTCCCAGCGGGCTCCGTCCCCAGAGGAGCCCTCAGCTGCCCTCCGGCGTTTGCTCCTCTAGCAGGATCCCAACTCTTCACCCCCCTCTGTGACCACAGCGCCTGCCATCCCGCCGCCCCCTCCCCCCCCCCCCCCCCCCCCCGGCCGCCGTGCAGGACCGTGGCCTCCAGGCGCTGGAACACGAGGGCCGGCTCTTCCCCCCAGCCCCGCAGAGGGCACGGCCTTCTCCAAGCCGGAAGTCCACAGACCAGGAGGGAAAAGAACAGTTCGCCGCACTTCACACCGCTTCCCATCAGGGGCTGCTTCTCGGGAGCCACAGCCCCGAGCACTGGGCCTCGGGCGGGAGTCCGGGCGCTCACCGGGGGCTCATGTTGGCCCTGTTCCCACTGCTGGCGAGTCCCTCTCTTCACCCTCCTCTTCCTACAGCCCACGCCCCAAGCTTGGTCGGCCATACTGCCCATCCTCCCCAACAGCAGAGCCAGTGCCTGGGTGCTGAGTCCACGCATGCCTAACACTCAGAGGAGAGAGACACACACCCCAAATCCCAGGCCCCGGCTCCTGCCTCACTCCCGCTCTTTACCAGGACAAGGCCACTGCCTGGATGCTCCTGGGGGAGGCCCTTGGCCTGGGCAGGTGAGCATGCAAATCTGAATGTAAATTATATGTAAATCCAGGGCCTGCCCTTGAGTTCCAGGCACCCCCACACCCTGCATCTCTGCTGCCTGTGGCTCACCCCACTCAGGCCTGGTGCTCCCGGGAATACACGGTGCTCGGGGCTGAGAAAGCACTGGGGGTGGGGGCTCTCCTCTCAGCTGCTTCAAATGTCCCCTCAACGAGACCCTGATGGAGGGAAGACTCTCCCAGCCTGAGCTATACCCCGAAAAACAAAACGTTCTCTGAATACCCACCCTCCCTTCAACTCATCCACAACAATCATCCTCCACCAAGCCCAGGGGTGCCCACTGGAGCCGTGGGTACCAAGCATGGGTTTCCTGAAGCCGTGGAGAAGGTAAGGGGGCTTGAGGTCCGCACCCCTTTGTCAAAGGCCAAGAGCCCACCAGATGCTGGGGCGGACCCCCACCCCGTGTCGGGGGGGCTCCCAGCCTCTCTGTTTGGGGGCTTGCTTCTTTAGCAAGACATCTCTAGGCCAAACCGGTGCTTGCATGCCCACCTCCTTCCTCCCCACCTGCCAATTTAGGAAACAGAAGCCTCTCCCCTCCTGGGATCTGCTAACCTAACGCTGCCTTCGGGTCAACTGCTCACTTGCTTTTTGTTCCTAGTTGAGCTCCCCATTCTGCTGCGGAAATATAGGAAAGGCAGCTGCCTGGTGCCCAGAAGCATGCCGCATCGCAGAGGTTTGTGGGCACCAGGCAATTCCTTCTCGCCCGTGTAATTCTAGCGCCAGAGCCGCTGCCCGCCGCCCCACCCCAGTGCTCACTGGGCCTTCTTCACCTGCTTCCCCGGAGTTGCATTTGCCATTTCAAGATTTTGAACACATCCCCCCCCCCCACTCCCCCTCTTTTAATTAGACACTGAACAGAGTGTTAGAGATTTGCTTAATGGTTCGACGAAGGCTTTTAATTTGGTATTCTCAAGAGAGAAGAACCACGAGTCCCCATTGGAGAGGTTGGGGTGGGAAATGAAAAAAATCAATGCAACCCATTACTTTGGCTTTTAGAAAACAGGAATTTTACTGCTGGGAAGCTGGTCTTTTACACAGTAAAAATGCAAATGCCGGCGACACAGATGCTGGCACGCGGGATGGAAGCGGGGAGAGCCGCGCTGGGGTTCATCTGGCTGCCCAAGCCGGGGTTTGTTTTGGCGATAATAAGACGGTTATTGAAGACTCGATAACCGATTATTAAAATATCTTCCCAGTTTAGTTCTGGGGAATCGGTCTGAGCTCAGTCTTTATCCAAAAAAAAAAAAAAGGTTTCGAGAGGAATGGAAATAACAGAAGCTTAAAACACATTCAATCACCGCTTAATTCCGTCCAGAGGATGAGCCATCTCCTCGTTTCCTCTCCTCTGGCTCTGCCTCCTCCCGCTCCTCACAGATGGACGTACAAATTATTGCAGGAGGGTATTGTTTTCTGAAACAGGCTTGTACATCACATTTACATTTTCTTTGGTGCCGCGGGGGTGGCTGGCAACGGGAGAGAAAAATACTCCAAACCCTATCTCCCCTGCTCTCACTGCATCCCATCTCCTCCCCGCCGCTTCTGCCCCCTCCCTCCCACGGCAGCCCAAGCGAACAGGCCCCGGGGACCAACCTGGCACCTAAGACCCAATCAAGGCTCTAAGCAAATGAAAGGCCTGCCTGGCGAGGCGCCCGGCCCAGCGCAGAGGCTGGAGCAACTGCATGGCAGGCGCGCCAGGGCTCTGCAGGCCAAAGAGCCACTCAGGTGCTGCCTCACCTGCACCTCCAACCTCCCAGGCCGACCTAGGACAGGGGCAACTTCCTTCCCGAGTTGGAAAGGGTGCTGCCCCTGGGCACCCCGCTGTCCTCTGGGCCGTCTCCGCCCCCACCTCCATCTGCTGCCTCCTATCGAGTAGCGAGTAGCGGAGCTTCATTTATTAATGCCCCGCTTCTGGGGGGGGGGGGGGAGGGGCATCGGGTTCTGCGCAGGGGCCTCCACTCCTGGGAATGGGCTGCTCAGGAGGAGGTCCCCAGAAAGAGGGGGTGGGTGGGTTGAGGACAAAGCTGGGCCCCGGTGTGCAGGGCTCAGGCCCCGCTTTCTCACCAGACAAAATGGAAAAGGGGTGGGGGCGAGAGGGAACCCGAGAGAAGCTGCCGCTCCTCACCTTATGTATTTTTAATATTAATGTAATTAAAACTGCAAGCCGAGCCAGCCTGCGGGGGCGGGGAGGCAGGAAGAGCCTGGGAGAGGGAGGCTGGGTGGTGTGTGTAGCGGGGTGTGGGGGGAACTTGAACGCTAGACGGCCTTCTCGCTCCCCGAAAGTGGGGCGGGAGGGTGCTGTGCAGGGGACAAGGTGCTAGCCAACCTGGCCCAGGCTTGGTGTGGCCCCCAGCGGCCCCACTGCTCTGAGAAACTCACCTTGTCCACCACTGGGAGGCCACTCCCCCCTCCCCCTCCCCTGCCCCTCACCAGTCCTCCAGGCAAACCCCAGCAGTGCCTTTGGCCTTCAGTCTGGCTTTGTCCAGGAGTATTGACAAATGGAATAGGGGTTACCCCCCCCCCCCAAAGCCAGGAGCCGCAGCAACCAGCTACAGCAGGTTGGGGACACCGCACCCCTGGGGCCTCTGCACGGAGGACTGGGCCCCCTGGAGCGCCCGCCATTGGCTGGACTGCCCTTCTCCCGTCGCCCAGGGGTCAACAGTGGTCGCTCCTCCCGGGTCATCACCTGGGCAAAGGGGGGTGGGGAGAAACCGCCCCCAGGCGGAAGGGAGAAAAGTTGGAGGGCTGAACCCGGCAAGCTGAGCGCACAGCGTGTGTGCTTCCCGCACAAGGGCGTGGAGTTCGGCCGTTGGTCTCCCGCCATCTGCGCGCCCCGGGCACGTCCTCTACCAAAGCCTGGAAGCCCGGCCGCCAACAGCCTGGCCCCGACTCGGTGCCCAGGCGCTCTGGTCGGAGACGTCTGCCCCCTTCCAACTGCCGGTCCCGGCCACTTGGAGGTCAGGTGCGCAGCGCCAGCAGGTCTGGGCACGCCGGACACCTGGACCCACCCTGGCAACGCTTCCTCTGCCGGACAGCGACACGCCCCGCCCCTCCTGCCCCATCCCCGCTCCGGACGGAAGACCGGCCCGTGTCCGGCTGACCGGCTGACGGGCACGCAGCGGAGAACCTGGCGCCTTGGAGCGCGCTGCTCGGTAGCTAAGGCGGAGCCGCGAAGCCCGGGTGCGCGAGGAGGGGGGGAGGGGGAGGGGGAGGGGGAGCTGGGAGGGCGGCCTCTGGGTTTGGAGAACAACTTGCTCTCCTGGGGACCCCAGCTCTCGGGACCCCAGCTCTTCTGCTGAGCATCGAGCCCGCTCCACTGGGCGCCTTTCGGGCAGCGTAGGGGTCCGGCGGCGGAGGCGCGCGGGGGCGACGGTGGAGTAGCCGCCGGGTCTGAGGCCGGAAGAAGCGAGGGCTCCCGTGGACACCCCCCGCCCGAGGACCCGGCCACTCGGAGGGCAACTCAGAGGGCACCCCGGGGTCCCAGCGCCCCCAAGCCGCAGGAAGCGGCCCGGGAGCTGGGGAGGGGTCGGGGCAGAACGGCGCCCAGCGAGGAGCGGGGAGGGGGGAGGGGCTCGGGCACCCCCCACCACCCTCACCTCGACACCAAAACGGCAGGAGCGGTGGCCAGCGGAGCGGCCCGGGGCGACTCTCACCCGGCCCCTCTCCGGGTGCTCGCCCTGTCCCCGCTGCCACCCACCCAGGGCCGGGCAGCGGGTCGGTCCCCGGACATCTGGAGCCCGCCCGGCACCCCGCTTGGCACCCCACCGGGCACCCCGCCTGGCCGTCAGCGCGCGCGCTCCCGGCGCTGCCCCCGCCGCCGGCGGCTCGCGCGGGCTCACCTTTGTGCCAAGAGTCCAGGAGCAGGAGGAAAGTTACCAGCCACATGCCATACAGAGGCCGGTTCCCCGGGGATGGTCCTTGGCCGCGTGCGGCAGCGCCTCTCCCCGCTCCGCGCTCGCAGCCGCCCGACTCCGCGCCGCTCTCTGCTCCTCGCCGAGCGCTCGGCGGCTCCTCCCTCCCGGCTCCCCGCTCCTGTCATCCGCGGGGCTGGGCCAGGCGCCGCTCTCCCCGCCCCCCCGCGGCACCCCGGGGGTGAGCGCCGCCCAAGTCGGCCCCCAGACCCGCTCGCACAGGACAGGGTCGAGGACCCGGACATAGGACCCTGCCCGGGGTTCGCCGTCTGGGAGGCAAGGGGTCCCTGCCACCCGGCGACTCAGAGCTGCGGGCGCTCAGAGCTGCGGGCGCGCACAGGCGTGTGTCATAGGAGTGCCAAGAGCCCACCGTGCTCGTGCCAAGATGCCCGGATCTCCCGGCCGTCACCTGGGGACAGCGCTCTGTGCCTCCTTCAGGCCAGTTTACCCCATTGGGGGGGGTCTCCATAAATCCAGACTAAGATCCGTGGGTGCCGTCAGCGCTCTCTCCACCCCACAGCTCAAAGCTGCTGCCTTCCAGCCCTGTCACCTCTGCAGGTCAGCCTGGGGGCCGCTGGGATTCTCTGGGCGCTGCACGTGGACTTGTTTAGACAGTATCCGTGTCCTTCAGTGTCTGCTCCTCTCCTGCATCTTCAAGACCTACCACCCCCAGCTCCCTCACCAAACAAAACGGGCTTCTCCCTTAGGCCAACCTGCATGAAGCTGGTGCAGGATGGAGCAGGGCGTGAGGGAGGGGATCCTCGCAAGTACAAAGTAAATGGTGAGAGCCTGCTGAGTGCCGGACCCTGAGCTGGCACGGGCCCAAGGCCGGCTGAGCCAGGTCGGCGGTGGGAGCTGGCAAGGGTGAGAAGCCCTCCTGGCCCCGGGCAGGGTCCAGAAAAGGGATCCCAGCGGCTCTGAGGATGGGTAAGCCGGGCCTGGGCCTGGGCCTCCCCTCCTTGAGGGTAACAGAGGCCACCTGGATGCGCCAGCTGCTTCCTGGCGTGCTCTGACCCAGCTCTCTGAGTTGTGCGGGGAGAGGGGGTGTGAAGGGAGCAGGGGAGAGGGGCTGCTGTTTAGCTCCATCTGACAGAGGAAGACAATTTACTTCCCCAAAATGTCTTGCCCAAGATCAGAGAAGGGAACTAGGACTCCGCATCCCCAGGTTTTGCCAAGATAACCCTAGAGATTTTAACTAAAACTTTAAAGTGCGTTTACCTTTAAGATGTGTTAAATATACATAACGTAGAACCCACCATTTTAACTGTTCCCAAGTGGCATTTAGTGCATCCGCATTGTTGTGCCACCATCATCACTACCCATTTCCAAAACTTTTTCATCATCAAACAGAAACAGTAGCGCCCATCCTCCCCTCCTCCCACCACATAACCTCTCATCTGCTTTCATGTCTATGACTTTGGCTATTCTAGGTAGCTCGTAATCTCAGTGGAATCATATTGTCCTGTCTTATTCCACTTAGCATGCCGTCTTCACGGGCCATCCACGTTCCAGCATGGAGCAGAATTGCACTCCTCTTCGTGGCTGAGTACTATTCCACCGTGTGCAGAGACCACATTTTGTTGATCTGTCCATTTGTGAATGGACACTCCCCTTTTGGGTTGTTGTGAATGATGTGGCTCTGACCGTGAGTATCTCTTCCTTTGAATCCTGCTTCCGGTACCTGGAGGTGAAATTGCTGGATCCTAGTTTTAGCTTCCTGAGGAACTGCCAGGCGCATTTGCTCTTTTTGTATAACATTTTAAGAGAACGTCTCAAGGGCTCCCACTACAGCTGCTCCCTGTGATCCTCACAATATCTGTTGAAGCTTTGTCCCCCCCTTTTAAAACAGGTAAGCACATCGAGGCTTCGCTTGTTCAAGGTCACTTCCGTTTGTATCGCAAGCAAGACTAGAACCCAGGTCTCCCGGCTCCGGGGCAGAGCTGCTTGTTCTCCACTGTGCTGCCCCTGCTTTAGGGCGTTGTCACCACCCTAAAGTGGAGGCTTTGTCCCTAGCGCTTTGTACTCTGTGCACGGGGAGCGAACAAACCCAGGCAGACGGTGTTTGGGATGACCAGCCGAAGCCTCTCTTTACATATAGAGAAACAGGCCCGAGGGAGGAAGAGGGAGGAAGCAACGGGCCTGCGTCACTCTCTCCCCTGCGCCCGGGCCCATCCTCCCCTCCTGTCCCTTCCCCTCTAAAGGGAAGGTTGCTGAAAAGAATCCAGTTAAGCCTGTTGACCCAGAGCACCTGGTCAGGCCAAGCCTAAAATACACGGCCAAGTCAGAAGGTGCAAGGGCTGCTGTCTGCTGGGGCGGGTGGCGCTGAGTGAGCCTGCGCGCGCCAGCCCAGCTGCTCCTGCCCCACGTGCTGGAGGGAGGGAGGAGGCCCTCTGCCTCCACCACCTGAAGTGCATCCTACAACCTGTTCCTGTCATGCTGCTTACACCTGGGCCGTTCAGGGACCACTGCACTGTGAAAGGGCCAAGCGTTCCCTGAGGGCGGGGTCCCTCACCGTGTCCCTAAAGAGGAGGCTTGTATGTGGGAACAGGGAGCCTTTATGCTGTCACGGTGAAGGGTGCGGCTTTGGGGTCAGATAGAGCTGAGATCTCAGCCAAGTCTGCCGTTGCGTGCCCTTGGGGAAGTCATGGGTACCAAGCCTGTCCTCGCCTGTGAACTGGGGACTGCTGTGAGGATTCAATACTTCAAGCCCAGGGCCAGCCCATTGTAAGCACAGCTGAACACCTCACTACAGGTCCTGGCTTTGCTCTGGGGACCTGGCCTGGGGGTGGGGGATGGGGAGAGGAGGAGGCAAGGGTGACCTACTGCACTCCTGCTGTGACAAGGCCAGCGCCAAGGCCAGAAGCTGCAAAGACCAGGAGGAGGCGCACTTAAGGCCGCAGAGCAGGGGGAGATGGCCAGCAGGGAGGACCCAAAACAGGCAGCACTTATGTTTAAGAAACATAACTTTAAGGAACATAACTTTGAAAATGACAGTCTGGTTTATTGTGTTCGGAAATCCCCTCTTAACTGGAATTTACCGAGAGAGCTAGCGTGGCAACGTCAGGAGAATCCGCAAGGGGACCCCAAGGGAAAGGGAGCCGGGTGGGAGCGTGGGTGCTCCACCCACGCCCGCCCTGAGCCCGGCGCCCTCCCACAGCTGACATTTGGGAGGGCTTTTTATTTTGATAGAAGGGACAATTCCTGCACGCTGGATGGAAGCCCTGGATGCACGCTGGTCTCACGCTGGATGGAAGCCCTCACACCCACACGCACACCGCGGCGAGAGCAAACACCGTCGCCAGCAGACATAACGTGAACGTAATACAACGCCAGCACACCTGCTCGCACGCGAGTTCCACTCAGCCCACACATCCCGCACTGCCACCTACGCGCATGTCCTGGCATGGTGTTTGTAAAGCCTCAGATCTGCAGGTTCCTTTCTAGGATGGACGGACCAGCTGTTTGAAAACAGTGGTCAGCCCTGCCCGGTGTGGCTCAGTGGCTGAGCATCGTCCTGTGCACTAAAAGGTTGATGGTTTGATTCCAATGTCTCTCTCTCTCTCTCTCTCTCTCTCTCTCTCTCTCTCTCTCTCTCTCTCTCCTTCCTTTCTCTCAAAACAAAAAAATCAATAAAAACATATTTTTAACAACAACAAAATCCACAGTGATCACTTTCAATATTTTGTTGCACCAGAATAGAATGTTGGCTGATGATGTGGTTGGTGTGTGTGTGTGTGTGTGTGTGTGTTACCAATGCAGCTGAAGCAGCAACATGAAGGCCTGGGAGGTGACCCCTCTCCAATTCAGGTTAATCATGGATATTGGGGTATTATTTTGTCATGTTATATTAGGTCTAGAGTCATCATGAGAAACAACAGCTATTTTTACTGTTTAACTCATACAACAGCTTATATATTTTGGATATTTCTCTTCAAAAACCAAGCCTTCATACGTGTTCTGAAATTCACATATATATATATATATATATATGCTTTTCATAAAAGAAGTCAATACGGACCAGGTCAATGTTAAAAACTTAACATTTGGGGTCGTGTAGCTAATTCAGAGCTGACCTTCTTATACTTATTCATTGATTGAGGAGGAAAAAACAAATAAGAATTTCCTTGCCTGTTTTTTTTCCATCTGTAATTTATTTTAATATTATAGAAGGAGTCCTGGCCTACAAATCAGAAATTCTGGGTTCTAGTCTCACCTTTGCCACCTTAGCCCACTGGCGATCCTGGATGAGTCACTTTCCTTTTCTGGGCCTCGGTGTCCTCCCTCGCGAGTCACATGAGAGATTTGAGCTGGAGGATGAGCAAGGTCCTCTCCGAAACTGGAAACAGGGTGAGCACTAACAAACACACACATGTCCCCCCCGTGTAGAGTGTGTGTGTCCCCACAGACCTATGCATGTTCTCTACGCAGGCGAAGAAACAGAAATACAAATGTTCATGCACAGACACCTAGAAGCAGACAGACACACACAAAACACAGGAATAAGCAGCTTCTGCTTCAAACGCATGCACACATACCTGAAATCCTTCGTTCTTCTAGGGCAGTGGTTCTCAACCTTCCTAATGCCGCGACCCTTTAATACAGTTCCTCATGTTGTGGTGACCCCCAATTTCATTGTTACAAATGGAACATAATTAAAGCATAGTGATAAATCACAAAACAATATGTAATTATATATGTGTTTTCCGATGGTCTTAGGCAACCCCTGTGAAAGGGTCGTTCAACCCCCAAAGGGGTCGCGACCCACAGGTTGAGAACCGCTGTTCTAGAGATGGGGGAGTCGTTGCATTCCTAGACTGATCCTATCTAAAAAGGTGCGCGTGCCCTGGCTGGTGCTCAACTAGTTGCAACATCGTCCCCTTACGTCAGGGTTGCGGGCTCCATCCCTGGTCAGGGCACATGTAGGAATCAACCAATGAATGCATAAGTAAGTGGAACAACAAATCCATCTCTCCCCCCTCTTCCTCTCTTTCTCTAAAATCAATTTTAAAAATTTTATAAGGGCCCTAGTTTGGCTCAGTGGATAGAGTGTCGGCCTGTGGACTGAAGGGTCCCAGGTTGGATTC